GTTAGGTAGAACTCTTGAAGACACTGGCATACGAAAAGACTTTATGAACAAAACCTCAGTAGCATGGGAACTAGCACAAAGAATTAACAACTGGGATCTCATCTTATTAAAAAGCTTCTGCACTGCAAGAGAAACTACCAACACAGCTAAGAGACAACCTACAATGTGGGAAAAAAATTTTAGCAGCTATACCTCAGACAAAGGACTAGTATCTGGAATATACAAAGAACTGAAAAAAATCAGACCCCCCAAATTTAAAGACCCAATTCATAAATGGGCATCTGAAATTAACAGACATTTCTCAAAGAAGTAAAAGCAGCAAATAAAAATATGAAAAAATGTTCACCTCACTTGTCATTCGAGAGATGCAGATGAAAACAACACTGAGATTCCACCTCACCCCAGAAAGAATATCTGCTATCAAGAAATCAACCAATAACTAATGTTAGTGGGGGTGTGAGCAGAAAGGAACCCTTCTCCCTTATTGGTGGGAGTGCAGACTGGTGCAACTACTGTGGAAATCAGTATGGAGATAACTCAAAGAACTAGGGCTAGAGGTCCCATTTGACCCAGGTATTCCCCTACTGTGTATCTTCTCAAAAGACTTAAAAGAATCATACCACCACGATATATGTGCACCCATGTTTACAGCAGCAGTTTGTAATAGCTAAAGCTTGGAAACAACCCAAGTGCCCATCAACTGGAACCTAGATAACGAAGATGTGGTTTTTATATAAAATGGAGTACTACTCAGCCATAAAGAATGACAAACTAAAGATATTTATAGCTAAATGGATGCATATTGAGGCCATACTCAAGTGAAATAAATAGGACCCACATGTGTAAATACCGAATAGTTTCTCTGCTATGAGAAACTGAAAGTGTAAATAAGGACTAAAATGATTAAAATGAATAATTGATAATTTGAAATAGGAAGAAAAGGTCCAAAGGGGTAGCAGAAATGGGAGGGAAAGGGGAAAGGAAAAATTATAGGAAAAGGAAAAAGGGTAACCAAGTCTTTGTAAATAGGGAAGGGTAAAGGAGGTGAAGGGAGGACAGGGAATGGGGAAAAAATAAGAACCAAGATACATCATGTACAGGTACAAGCACCCAATGATAAATGTAAACGTAATGTATACCTAAAAATGTACCAATAAAAGAATTTAAACAAAATAAAAAAAAGGAAACTCAAATCTTGGACAGTATTTTCTAAAAGATCATATAACCAAAGCAAAAATGCTTACATGAACAACAGATTTGGGCTCAACACTATATATTCATGAATTTACTTTTGTTCTACCTTGATGTAAATTTTTTTTTGCATAAATTTTTTATTGGTACATTTTAGGTATACAACATGTTTACATTTATCATTGGGTGCTTGTACCTGTACATGATGTATCTTGGCTCTTATTTTTTTCCCCATTACCTGTGCGCCCTTCCCCCTCTCCACCTTTCCCTATTTACATAGACTTTGTTTCCATTTTTTCCTTTTCTCATAATTTTTCCTTTCCCTTCTTACCTTTCCCCTTCCCCTCCCACTTCCCCTACCCCTTTGGACCTTTTCTTTCTATTTCAAATTATCAATTATTCATTGTAATTATTTTAATTCTTATTACACTTTCAGTTTCTCACACTAGAGAAACTTCAGTATTTACACATGTGTGTCCTATTTATTTCACTGAAGAGTATGTCCTCAATGTGCATCCATTTAGCTATAAATGTCTCTAGTTTCTCATTCTTTATGGCTAAATAATACTCCATTGTATAAAAAAACCCACATCTTCTTTATCCAATTTGATGTAAATATTAATGGACCTTCAGTCTGTTCATTTTTCCCAAGGTAGTTTTTTTTCCCCTTTTACTAATAAGAAAATAAATAAAGTGACCTCCCGATGAAGCATATTGTGCTTGGTAATGGTTATGGGGCTGTGTGTTGTTAGGGGACCCAACACAGTCCTTGTGGGATCTGACAGATTGAAGCACAGATTCCTATTCCACCAGCTCCTAGTTGGATATTCTGAATAAACTGTGTAACTACTTAGACTTTCTCTACCTGTACAATTGGAAACATTACACTTCTGATGGATTATTGAATTAGGAATAATCTATGCAAAGTGCCTGGCATATAATAAATAGTAAATCTTGTTTTTGTTGTATTCCATTTGTGCTCATTTTGAGGTGGTTCTGGGGATGATGGTTATTGCTTTGTCTATTCCTCCACAGAGGATCTTGTATTTGCCTGTTCTTTACCAGCAATCATTAGTGCTACAGTAGCCTGACCCGCTTCTTATGCCCCACATCACTACTTCTCCACAGTGCATAGTTTGCCTTCCAGTGGACATTTGGCACTGTCTGTAGGCATCTGGTTGTCACAACTTGGGGGGGGGGTTGTTGCTCCTGTCATCTAGTGGGTAGAGGTCAGTGATGCTGCTAAATATCTCACAATACACATCTAACAATACCCTCCCACCCCTGTCAAAGACTTGTCTAGTCCCAACTGGCAACAGTACTAAGGTTAAGAAACTCCCATGGTAAACATAATCAATTCTAGAGGCAGGGAAACCCTAGCAACCATTAGTTTATCATCATAAATTTCAAACTGCCCATGAAGAGAATAAGCATACATAAAAATGGTTAACTACTGAACAGGCTGCCTAGTAGGTGGGTATGGGTGGGTGTGTTTGTGATCTATTCTTTTGAACAGTACATCCATTCTTGCTTCAGATATACATAGTGTGATGAAGTTAATGTTCTGTACCACCATTCTGGGTTAGTTAACTTGCTTTATACATAGAAGCTTCCAATAATGCCATAAATCTTCCATTCTGTGAATTAAAAATCTTGATACAAGTATAGACACATCTAAAAGTTGATCAGATTAGACACCTAAGACTAATACACTCCATACCTTAGTGAATATTTACTGTAGCCGGGCGTGGTGGTGTACACCTGTAATCCCAGAACTCGGGAGGCAGAGTCAGGAGGATCCCCACGAGTTTGAGGCCAGCCTGGGCTACAAAGTGAGTTCAGGGCCAGCCTGAACACAAAGTGAGACCTTGTCTCAAAAAAAAAAACCCCAAAAACCAAACAATACTTACTATATACATTTCAGGGTGTAAAATTTTTATGAAAAAAATCTGTGAAATAATCCAAACAGAACTGGACTAAAGTTAGCTTTGATTTGAAGATGACATCATACAAACTGACAGTATAAACCATTTTAGAGCTTTCATGGATGCTTCTGCACATTTAAAATGCCTGTCAGTGATGGTGAACCTTTTGAAGATCAAGTGCCCAAACTGCAACCAAAACCCCACTTATTTATCATAAAGTGCCGACACTACAATCAAACCTGAATGCTTGGCTGCTGGGGCAATGCTGGGTGACTTGGCTCGTGTGCCAACAGAGAGGGCTGTGCATGCCTGCTGCAGCACACAGGCCCTAGGCTCACCACCACTACCTTATATACATTGAAGGGACTGAACTGCTGTTTCAAATCACACTTATTCAAGCTGGTCCTCTCGACCCAATAACTTTTGTTTGTGCTTTATGAATTTCAAAATCAAAATCTCATATTTAAAAAAATTCATAACTAATTCAGAAATTCTGTTCTCTTTTGAACTTGAGTTAATGAGATCATCCTATTCTAATATATATTAGTTTCTTACTTGAAGAACAGTTTTTTTAAACCATTGCAGGAAACAAAAAGCCAACACAGGGAATGTCTAAGGGTAGCAGCAAGTTAAAAACAACAACAACAAAAAAAAGACTGGAAGATGGGATAAAGTGTGCCCAGTATTCTATTTCGTCCAAAATTGTTTGAACAACATACATAGTTTTCACACTTTTAGGATGCAAAAATGCCAGAAATATACTTAATTAATTTGTCTTATTTTATACTATTTAATTAATTTACTCAGAATAGAATTTTTTGGAAAAGCAGTCAGGGAACCTATTCCTGTAAATAGGAATGACATAAATCATTTGAACCTGGCCAGGGATGTAGCTCAGTGGTGCCACACCTGCCTGGCAAGCACAAGGTCCTGAGTTCAATCCCCAGTACTGCAAAAAGAAAAGAAAAAATTATTTGAACCATTGAGAACCTACATATTCTGCTTAGTTGTTAAAAAATACCCAAAAAGGATTGGAACCACTGAAATACTGGGCAAGAGACTTTGATTTTCAGGCCACAGTCTTATACATGATGTCGGCTGGCAGTAAAGAGAAATGTACTTAAAGTTTGAGATAGTATATTAAAAAAAAAAGATGTGGCAACATAAGCAAGTCTGGCAGGGAAATCATTTTTGAAAACAGAAGAGGCAGGAGACAGGTTCTTAAGTAAAAAAGGAGAATTAAGGCTGAATATAAAAAGAATGTTGAATTGAAGCTGTGGATAGCCTTATTTTTTAAAAAACTCAGGCTCAGAATTTGGTGTGTCTGAATTCCCAGAAATCAGAATCAGTCATTCTTATAAAGCCATAGCATGGCCTCAGCAAAGGCTGAGAAGGAATTTTGATATCCACAAGGTTGTAAAGAATGTCATTGACTAGGTAGACAAGCAAAACCTTGAAAGGGATGACTGAAGTCAGATGAAAGATCCAATTTGAAAACATGGACAATGAACTTAAGAATATCAACTTAGTAAAAATGGAAAATCTATGTAATTTTAATGTTTTTAAATTTGTGGACTCTAGATACATAATTAATTTGAGGGAAATCTGGAATGATCTGAGGATTTAGCTTCTCAACGCGGTTGAAGAAAGACAAACATCCCCATTCCTGTCAAAGGCAAAAAGACAAAGAGGCTGAGCTTAGGCAGATGGGAGTGACAAGTTCATCCCTTTAACAAGTATTAACTGCCCCATCACATGTCCAGTGCCAGGGTACACATCTACAGAAACAATCAAAATCCATGTCTTGAGTCCATAACAATAGGCTGGTGAGAGGCTGGACATGTAAACACATGAACAGAATGGGGGACATGTTCAATTCTGCAAAATATTTCCTTGTGTTTTTGATGAAGTCCTATGTCCTATTTCCACCTTGTATTCACCCAACTCAAAGTGTAACAGCTACTAGCGTTGAAAATATCTTTCTTCAGGAATAGCTGAGGTTTAGATAAATCTTTGTAACTGTGAAAAAGCCTGAAATCCTTCTGTTCTAGCTCTTTGAGGAGACTGTACCAGAACCGCACAACACTGCTGTCACTGCCACTGACCTCAAACCCAGGCCAGTGGAGATGAATCTCAAAGACAAGCTGTCCAATCTGTTCAAGGACATCTTCCAGAATAAGATTTTCCAAAACTTTCCATTCTGCACTTTCCAGATCTGCCTTGAGAACATCAATCTGTAACATAAAATGAAATGAAATTAGAAGATTTGGTAAACTGCTTCATATAAGGAGTTCATTATGGATCTTAAATTTGGGTTTTAAATGTTCCCCTGGAAGCTTGTGCATTGAAAGCTTGGTCTCCAACACAGCAGTGCTCAGAGGTGGGGCCTTTGGGAGTTGAATCATGGGGACTCTGGCCTCATAACTGGATTAATCAATTTATGGATTCATAATCTAATGAACCATTTCAAAGTGATAGAAACTTTAGGAGGTGCTGCCTAATTGGAAAAAAGTAGAATCATTGGGAGAAGGAATGCCTTTGAAGATTACATTTTATCCCTGGCCTCTTCCTCAGTCTCTTTCTTTCTCTGCTTTCTGGCTGCTGGTTAGTGAGCAGCTTGCTCTACTCTGTGCTCCACATCATGATGCTCTTCCCCACCACAAGCCTGAAAACAACACAGCCAAGTGACCATGGACTGAAACTTCTGGAACTATAAGCCAAAATAAATCTACTTTCCTTTAAGTTGATTTAACTCAGGCATTTTGCCGCAGTGGTGGAAATCTGACTAACAAAGAGTTTCACAGTACTCCCAGGGGAGCAGACTTTTTTAAATTTTAAAGTTGGAGGTTGTTTTCCAGTGCCCCCTAATGACTTGAAATCCCTACATCACTTCATACCAAATGTTAATAATATATAAATAATGAAATGTCAGGTGGCAATCATAATAGACCTAAGACAGGGCAACAAGATGAGGGACACTCCTATGGGGGAGGGACAATCCCAATAGAGTGACATCATCATTGTACACAGAACCAATCAGAAACTTGCTATTTTCAATCCTTCACTTGAATCTGGTGCTGTTCACAGGACCAATCAGAAGATGCTCTTTTCAATCCTTCATTTGCGTGTGGGCACAACCAATCAAAGACACCATTCCTGATGCTTCATTTACATGTAACAAGAAGTCAAGTAAATTATTTGATAAGAGAGTTTATATGCGGCATGACACCAAATGAGTGTTTGATAGGACTTTCTCAATGCCTCATGTACGTAAAACACAGATAACCCAGGAATTTTGAGTACAAAAGGCCCTTTCCTCTTATCCTCAGGGCCACTGTGAGCCTTTTTACTGGCCCACTCCTATTCTGCAGAGTGTACTTCTTTTCTGCCTTTTTTTTGCATGTCTTAAACAATTCTTTGTTCAGGACACCAAGAACCTGGAAAAAAGCCCCACAGGACTCTCTATCTGGTAACAGACCCTCTTGCTTTCTGCCCCTGTGAATGGATGTCCAAGAAGGAGAAGCTGGTTTTCATGTATCATGGAGCTCCTTGCCTACCTCTTTCCCCGTAATTTGTACACCACTCCAGGGAACCCAGATGTGCCCTGATAGAATGGTGGCCACAGGCAGGGACTGAAGAAGGCGGCTGCCTGCAAGGATCATCTCACAAATTTCTTCTCTCTCTAACTCCATCAAGACTGAAAGTCCAGGAAAGAATTCTCAGATATCTGAATATTAGATTATAGAAAAATTACTATTCTTATCCAGTTGTAACCAGCACTACAAAATGGAACTTTAAATGTTAGATTTTTTTTTCCTTTAGAGACAAGTGGCTTTTCCAAAATTCCTCAGGCCTAGGGCAAAAACAGCTATTCCCACCTCTCCTCAGCCCAGATGAATGTCCACAAGAGGCAAGAGTCCAGTTTCCTTCCCACAAGAAAGGGAACAATGAGCTGAAGATAGCTGGATGTGATAAAGCAAGTGTGGAGAGCTGCACTATCTTTCTGTGTTTCCACTCTCCTCTGCTCCTTACTATATAAAAGACCCTTACCCATCTGTACTCAGAGAGATGATCTGAGGCAAATAAATAAAATTTGAATAAATCCTTTTTATTTTTTACCAAAATAAATGGCTTCTTTTGATTTGGTCAGTGGCAAGCAAACGAACTTGTAAATGAGTATGTAAACCTAAGTGGCCAGTAACATTATGATTTCTTTTAAAAGTATATGCCAGGTCCGGGGAGTTAGCTCAGTGGTTCCGCCACCTGCCTTGCAAAAGCAAGGTCCCAAGTTCGATCCCCGGTACCAAAAAACAAAACAAAACAAAAAGGTATAAGCCAGTCCGTAGAAAAAAAGTAACACAATTCCCTTATAAATATAAGTTTACATCCAAAATAAGATGGAATAAGGAGAAAAAGTAGGGTGCTAGAGAAATATTTTATAATTAATCAAATTACAAGCTCCTCTCGGCTGGCTTGACATAAAGTTGGTTAGAACAATGGAACTCCAATTACCTTCAGAAAGCAATGAAAATAGGGCTGAGGGTACACACACACACACACACACACACACAGAGTAATAAAAGCTAATCCTCACCAGATTACTTACATGTACCTGACATAAGTCTAAGTGTTTCCCTTTGCAAAACTCACTTAATCACATCTCCATAATGCTACAAGGGTGATTTTGTTAGTATCCTCAACTAACACTTAGAAAAGCAGACTGAGTAATCATCCTAGTTACACAACTAGAGAGGTGGTGGTGAAATCTGAATAGTCTGCCTACCTTATCCTGTCCTTTTAACCACTATTCAAGGTTGCCTCCCAATAAACCACAAGAGGAAAAATGATAACTCACAGTCCCAAAGAGGTTTGGGTTTGGAAAATAAAATGCTATTTGCAGAATGAATATGGGTCTGTGAGTAAAGTGTTGTTATCAGTATCACTACTTTCCATCTGCAGAACACTTTTCATTGGGGTTCATTTTACCACACAAAGGAAAGCTGACAGCATTCAGGCACAAGTTGGGAGGGAATCATTGCAAAGGAGCTGAGGCTGTGGTCTCAAAAGGTGACAGCAGAATTTTAAATAGCTCTTCTGTAAGATGTCAACTGAAGTCATTAATATTCTGCCCCATGAAAGTGAAAATAACTGTGCTGCTGTAGATGGATGGATGGATAAATACCAAAACAAGCTCGCCCAGGTTCTTTTCTCTCCTATTGCATGTCTGTTTGATAAGTTCCTCAGATGAGGCTGAAATGAGAGGCTCCTGGTGCCATGAAAACATTCATTGTATGACTTCAGAGTTGGGTGGAAGAGAAAGGGAATAAAATTTATATATAATTGCTCCAAGAAAATGAGTTTTGCCTGATGTCCTGAGACTATGAGAGATGGTTTCACATCCTTGCCTCAAATATCTCGTAGTCCACCAAGAAAAAGGATAATGGTAACCACCTCAAGAACACTGAGACACCTTGAAAAGACTAGAGTCTGTTAACCAGTTTGTGAGTCAATGATTTCAAAAACATAGGAAAGAAAAAAAAAGGAGAAAAGAAAAACCTCTCTTCATGAAACTAGGCATGGGAACATACACCAGGCGAAATTAATTCTTCTGATTGGACACAAGGAAATTAATTCACTCTTTTTTCCATCTCCACTGCCCTGGCACTTCCCTGGCTTTGTTTAATCTTGGCAGTTTTAAGCACAATATTCCTGGATTAATGGTAATTAAGCTGCCAAAAGAAATATTCAATCAAAATTGCACAAAATGTTCTAATTGGTATAGAACACATCCAAAATTTAAATAAGCACTAGCTGTATCAATTCCCATTGCCAAAAATTTCTTAAGTTCTTTACATATTTATTTTCATTGTGGTTTTCTATGAGTTTGTATATGATGAATAGCATTAATAAATCAAAGTATTAAAAGGATAGAGTATGGGGAAAGGAAAGAATGGAAAGGAAAAATTATGAGAAAAGAAAAAAAAATGGAAACGAGGTCTATGTAAATAGGGAAGGGTGGAGAGGTGAAGGGCACACAGGTAATGTGGAAAAAATAAGAACCAAGATACATCATGTACAGGTACAAGCTCCCAATGATAAATGTAAACGTATTGTATATCTAAAATGTACCAATAAAAGAATTTAAGAAAAAAAAAGGATAGAGTAAGTTAATCAGCTTAAAAACTATCTTAGTTAAGTATAGAGGAATATACTTTATATATATTTTCCAACCATATTTTAAAAATAAACTATCAATCAAAAGTTATGAGCAACTAGAAGAGAATAAAAAATTATTAGGGTAAATTACACCAAATACATGTTTTCTTTAAATGTTAAATTTTTATTTCCAAAATGCATATCTATTCTACAGAGCAAAAGATATTTTCTTTTTTTGCTTTTTACTTTCTAAAAAAAATTTTTTTAGTATATGTTTGTAGCACATAATGATTACATTCTTTGTAGGGAACTGGGACATGTACATAACACATATCAATTCTTTTTTTCCCCCTTCCCTCCACTCTTTTTTTTTGCCAGCATCATTTCATTTATTTATCTTATAAGACCTTATAACATTAATTATCATATATGCAGAGTAAAAACCAGACTAAAAGGCAAATATTTTTAAATATGATAACACTTTTACCTACTTTGACTCCCGGGACTGAAAATCCCTGTCTTCAACCAGAGTTCTATAGGTTGATCTAAATCACTAACCTTGGAGTGGTGCAACGCTGAGGGATGCACAAACTCTTCCCTGCCTTTTAACGTGAGAGTGCAGACAGCCAAAATGTGGTGAGTAAACACATTCCTCTCTCCCAGTATGCCTTTCTATTTCTTGTGCTTCAGAACATCCCATTACATTACTATTTTGCAACAGTAATTTCCATTATTATGGTTTAATATATCCAATATTATTGTTATTATAAAGCACTACACATTTCTTGATAGGATATGCCATTTTTAAGATTCTAATATCAGTTTTCAAGAATTATGGCACTAAAAAATCATGCAAATGATTATACTGGAATAATCAAGTGCCAACCCTAATACAGTTTGGTTAAATTGGATTTGTACAAAGATTTAACTAAGTATCAACTTACAAACTCTGGGGTAAGTGAAGATACATTCTTAGGTAGAAGGTTCTCAGAGATGATACATGAAACAACCTATTTGCTACAATTTCAAAGGTGTTAAAGGGGTTCACCTATAAAATATTATCTCCTATTCCTTATGC